TTGACCTCTTCAAAAAATATATTTTTTAATATCTCCTGGACTGGTCCAGTACTCCCACACTTCCCCTATGACACCACCGTGGGGAATATTGGTCTAACGCATGAATATTAACACAACAGAAGACCATGTTCACCAATAATTTTTTGTTTTAACCCCGGATGTCATACTTTCTATTACACAGCTGAACACAGGGCTTATCATTGTAATAGATAGGCACACCCTTCAGGCCACATCTGCACAAAGCAGACATCACACTCATGGGGCTTTGGGAAGGTATGGAATTCAGGCTATGTAGGCTTTCAGAGGTACCAAAGGATTAGTCTGGTGATCAAAAGTGTGGTTAGTCAAGTGATCATTGTTGACAAGTTGGTTCTTTGAAGGCATCTGTTTTAGAAGTGAACTCATTTCTGATTGACTTTTACAATGGAGAGGATGATACTAATGGGTTGATTGCCAAAAATAGGCTCACCGGGGTGACTCATTTGTCAACTGAATGTTTATGCTGGTTCTGGTTGCCGCTTGGTTCTTTGATTACAGAGAAACCCACGTTTTCCCAAGTTTGTCAAAATTTCCTATTCTGATTGTCTTGCATAACCGAGCACAAGTATCAAATATAGAAAATTTAGTTTTTCTCCAAATCTCACTACTTTTGAAGTTTTTGGAGCCAGTTTTTTGGAGCTTTGAGATCACATGGCTTACTCCAGGTTCTTTTCTCAGGAATCATCCCTGTTGGTGCTCAAGTGACTATATACAGCACTCGGGATCAAAGCAGGGTCAGACAGGAGCCAGATAAGTGCCTTAAGCCTTATACTATTTCTCTGCCACCTGCCCCCCTCGACTACTTTCTTTCTTTGTTTTTTGGGTCATACCCAGCTCAGGGGCTTCTCCTGGCTCTGAACTCAGGAATCACTCCTGGGGGTGCTTGGGGGACCATATGGGATGCCTGGGATTGAACCTGGTTCTGCCGCATGCAAGGCAAACGCCAAGAGACATTCTTATTTATTTATTCGTTTGCCTTGTACGCAGCCAACATGGCCGACCCGAGTTTGATTCCTCCGCCCCTCTCGGAGAGCCCAGCAAGCTACCGAAAGTATCTAGCCCGCACGCAGAGCCTGGCAAGCTCCCCGTGATGTATTCAATATGCCAAACACAGTAACAACAAAGTCTCCAATGGAGACGTTACTGGGCCCGCTCGAGCAAATCGACGAACAACGGGAGGGCCTTTACCTTTTGCCTATTTATTTTTGTTTTTTGGGTCACACCCAGCAATGCACAGGGGATACCTGGCTCGTGCATTCAGGAATCACTTCTGGCGGTGCTTGGGGCACCATATGGGATGCTAGGAATAAAACCTGGGTTGACCGTATACAAGGCAAACACCCTATCCACTGTGCTATTGCTCCATTCTTAAGAAGAATCAGCTCAAAGCTCAGATAAAGGAAACATTCACCAATCCTATGCTTCATGAAATCTTTATCTGGATCAAATTGCATATTAAAATTAGAATTGTATGTTATTTTTTCTTCCCCAAAATGATTAGCTCATTTATCAAGCTCCCTTCCTCCACACCAGGATTGTTTTCATTTATATTTATTATCTATGGCCACTCTTGGTTCTAGCTTTGGTACCACATACAGTTCCCTAACTACCTCCAGGAGTGACCTTTGAGCACAGAGCCAGGAAATTGTCCTGAGCACCACTAAATATTCCTCAAAATAAACAAAAAAGTTACTGATCTTTCTCCTACTAAACCCCATATATTTTTGGTTTTAGATCTCATCACAGCTTGTGGAGATGGATTAGAGCCAAAATAAGAACCACAGATGGACAGTCACCCTGGAATCCAAGAGCTAATTTCAGGTCACAGATACATTTTGTTTTCAAAATCTGGCTTTGGGTTTTATTATCAAGCTTACTTTACCTATTGATACATATCACGGCACCTGAAGACCTCTACACTGACGTTCCCTTTGGAACATCTCTCCTCTTCCCTCTTGAGGATGAAGTTAGCATGGGCAGATCTTGCGACTCAGTGGAGTTTGCAAACGGACTCTCCATGCCAGCTTCTTGGAATCTACTCTGAACCACCAGTCCTTTTATAACCCCAAATGATCACATTAGTGAATGAACCTATTCCCCTAACTCGGCTTCTGTGAAGTGATAATACTCATATAATAGACTCATCTGTTTTGAAACAAAATCTGGGTTGGTAAACGTAGTACCTTAAATCAGAGTGAAAGAAATATGTCATAATGTTAGAGAAAAGTCCAAGAAGAATGATTTAGAGAATTTTAGTGTAGAATGTTACCATCTGTTAATGACTGCAAATGATTTATTTTTTCTATCAAAGGTATTTTTTTGTCTTTCCTAATATTCCCACACAAACTACTTTCATTTACTACATTTTTTAAAAACATGATAGCATCTGTATATATCTAGAGATAATTGTCTTCAAAAGTTTCTATGTTTTTGTTTTTAATTTTTGTTTTCTGGGCCATACCTGGAGGTGCTCAGGGATTATTTCTGGCTCAGAGATCACTCAGGGATCACTCCTGGTAGGACTTGGGAGACCCTGTGGGGTTCTGGGGATTAAACCCAGGTCAGCTACATTCAGGACAACTTCCTGGCCTGCTGTATTATATCTCTGGCTCCCCGCTCTACTTTTTTTTTTTAACAGCAAAAGTCTTTTCAGTGATTGACCTCTCTAAAAATATCTCTTGCATCGTTCTAAAATAATATTTCTAGGACAGATTTTGAGTAATGTGGAAAGATAAAATCCATGTGAAAACAATCTTAAAATGAAATTTAATCTTTTATATATTAATTTAGTTGATCTTAGTAATCTTCAGTCAAAACCCTTTAGTTCATAATATCTTCAAGAGTTAAATGTCCTTGCCATTCCATTTATGTATCTTTTTCTCTAGAAAATCCAAATATTTCAGGGAGCACAAATTAAAAACAGTCAATTATTTCAAAACTATGGAATTTTACTTCCTTCACACATCTCTGCAATAAAGGCAAAACATCCTTTTATTCCAGAAACATTTAGTGAAAGATTTCTGCAAGATTAGTTTTGTATCTACTCAAAGACATTTTTAAAAATTTCACCAAATTGCTCTTTGGGTGTATGTCTTTTAGATTTATAGATAAAAGATATTTTCTTACCAATAAGTTTATTAAATTTATGAGTTACTCCAACAAAAAATGGAATATTATCTAATTTTTACAAAGAAAGGTATCTGAGCCCTCATTTATTATGAAACACAACAGAACAAAACAGTCCTTGGATTTCCATGAAAAAGCGCAAGGAAAATTTTTGGAAATTCTCCAGAAAGGATGTATTTTCATGAGGTCTGAGACCATGACTTTATCTAAAGTCATGTCAACATTCATTCAAACTGGTTGTCAATATTGACCAATAGAGATCTGTAAGATTTTGACAGTATTCAGAGAGGGCTGATGTTCACAGGGCCAAAAGAACTCAACCAGAAGGAGTACTGAGTGAACTTAACACAAAAGTTAGGAGCAGAGTTAAATAATCTCTCATACTTCGCAGCAGCACACACATTTATTTGGTAGCTTTCTCTATTTTGATGATTCAGAGTAAGTGTAATGATATGCTATGTAGGTACATTAAATTTAACTGCTCTTCAAAAGCATTAAATCTATTGTTTGGTGTAACAGTTAAATTTTCAAATGTTAAAATCATTACTATGACTCTAATCATGCATTTTGTAAATTTGATCATACCTACTCTCCATAGATGCTAAGTGTGCAGTAAAGACCTTTATAGCCATTTTCCTTACAGTCCCATGTTATTGGTTTAAACCATCTTGTATGTGTAGAACATCTTCAAATATGATTAGGGAAAATATTCAGAATGAAAGTAGCCATGGCCAGGTGGTCCAGGAAACACAATTACTCGGTACCACTCAAATGTTTTCATATCCTGGAAGACTCTGGGTCAAAATTGAGAGTCCATATTCATGGAAAAATTTATGGGTCAACAAAGTTAGTCCCCAAATGCTAAATCTTAAATCCACTTTTGTTCCTGTTTTGTGTTGTACAAGGATTCTATTACTCCAACTGCCTACGGGTGGGGAGGATTGATTCTGCTGAGACCTTCCTTCTGACCGCAACCCCCAAAATCAAGGAGCAGGATAAGCTGGCATTTGAAATACCCCATTTCCTGTTTATTCTTTCTAAAGAAGCTGAACTACACATAAACTAAGTTATCTGACATCTCGCTTGGGGGGGGAAACCTTCAAATGCAAGTTAAAAACAGAGCCACTGACTTCTCAATCTTTGTCGAAATATCATTATGTTTTAAAGTTAATTTATTTTTAAAGGTATTTAAATTCAGAATGTTCTGAACTCTGAAGTCATGTATTTCCAAATGCTATCCATTCCTCATCAATGAGAGAGGATTAAAGATGAGCTTCCACTAATTAGTCTGAAACATGCTCTCAGCCTCATAAGGGGAATATGCAGAGGTTTTATTATTTTATAAAGATGCATATTTGTGGAGGCTCTTCGAATGAATGTAGAGTATTTATTAGTTCATGGAGCAATGACTGGAATCTGGGATATAAGACTGGGGTGAAATTTCTTTACCCTCCTAACCCCAGAGAGTCTTTAGAAACAAAAGAGCACCAAGTACTTAAGGTAAGACACTGTTGTATTCATAATATAGAGAAATGACCACCGTGCCTCGTGGACAGGAGATGCGGTTCTCCAAGGGGCTACAAAACGGTGCTAGTAATAATTTTAATTGGATGCTATCTTTGCTGCCTTCAAAAAAGTATCATAAAACGGAATTATTACAGGCCGCATTGCACTTAGAGTGCGTGCGGCTCACAGGCAGAAGGCGAGACCATCCATCCCCGGGAGGACAGCCTCCGCGGCCTTGCCCTGCATCCTGCCTCCCGGTTTCCCTGTCCGGGTGCTGCTCTGCCCGCTCTGTCGTCTAAGGTCGGGTCGGCGTCGCCCGCGGGGCTCACCTGCAGGGGGCTGGGCGCGAGGCCCGGGCCCGGGGACTGCGTGGGCTTCTGAGGCGGGCTGGCGCGCTGCTGGCTCGGGGATGCTTGGTTCTGGTTCTGGTTCTGGTTCTGGTTCTGGTTCTGGTTCTGGGGCGGCGGGTGCGGCGTGGGCGGGAGGGGCTGGCTGGGGGCCGCGGCGGGCTGGGAGGCGGGTGGTGGCTGCTGGCCGGGGGGCGCGGCGGGCGGCGGCTGCAGGGGCTGGAACTGGTGCAGCGGCGAGTTCAGGGATGAGGTAGCTGCGGGAGAGAAAGGGACAGCGTTGGGGTCCTCCTTGGGAGGTCACGGGGGCCGGGCGGAGCGCGCGGTGCGAGGGGAGCACCTGCTGCGGAACCAGGTGAGGAAGGCGGGCAGGAGGCGCCCACCAGGCCTCCTGGCGCCGCGTTGGGCAGTGCGGCTAGCGAGGCCTGCGGGATTCCCGCGGGGTGGATGGGCTCCCTGCCCGGTGTCCACGTGGTGGGACACCCTCGCGCTCTCACTGTCCGGGAGCTCCTTTGGTGCTCAGGACACCAGCCTTCGGCAGCCCCAGAAGGCCGCGGGTCAGTGGGCGCGAGAGGCACCAGGCAGGTCAGTGGGCGCAAGAGGCACCAGGCCATGGTGGCGTGGACAGGGCCAGCCAGACCTATGCAGCGCCACCAGCTTCGTTTTCCAGACAAGGCCCGACTGGAGTTAAGACCAGGAAGGGCTACGATGGTTTTCACCATCCATCTGGCTACTGTGTCATTTTCACTTTCCACTTCATCGTCTACTCACCTTAAAAAAAAAAAAAAAAAATATATATATATATATATATATATATATATATATATATATATTGAACCCATTTGCTTTGCAAGCGGTCGACCCGGGTTCAATTCCTCTGTCCCTCTTGGAGATCCTGGCAAGCTACCCACATGGCAAAGCCTGGCAAGCTACCCCTGACATATTCGATATGCCAAACACAGTAACAACAAGTCTCAAAATTTTTTGTGAGCCGGTACTGAGCCCACTTGAGCAAATTGATGAACATCGGGAGGAGAGTGTTACAGTGCTATTAAAAAACATTGTGATTTACAAAGTGTTTACTGTGTTAATTGTAAGTTGTTTCAGGCCTACAATACTCCAACACCAATCCAACACCAGTGTTGCCCTCTCACTCTAAGCCCTCTTCCTAGGCACACACAGCACAAGCTTACTTCATATTGCTCGCTCAAACAAAACTTAGAGAAATTGCAAATGGAATGATCAGAAGTTCAAGTTTCTATGATGTTCTCCCCCCCACCCCCCACCCCTGCGGCCCTCCCTGTGTTTAGAGATCAGGAGAATTTTGACTGCACCTGAGAGAGTTACACAGGACCTCCACCTACAGGGGGATGGCCACAGGCCCATCCCTCCAGGGCAGGTCAGGAGCTGAGACATGGAGCCATCTCTCAAGATTTTCCTGTTATATGAAAAGTACAGTTTTGTGGGACAAGCTGTCTCAACACTGAGCACACTAATTTTTTTCTCATATGCCCTTCCAGCCCAACGATTTCTGCAGCAGGATGACAGTTAGTTTGGCCAAAGAATGATTAAGAGAAAATTACTGCTACAAATTCACTTCCTTCTTTGCCTGAATCTCAGTTGAAAAGCTTTCAAACAAGTCTACAAATAAATTTGAGGATTAATGTGGAACCCATAGCCTTGGATGTAATGTTTTCCTGCCTTCTTTTTTAAACATTGAAGTAGTCAAGTTTTCCAAAGGTAACAGCTTCTGTTTGCAATATTAAACTAGTCTCTTCTTTTTTTTTATTAAAGAAAATGCCTCCTTCCCAATAACATACAGGTTTTGTAAAATGACATATCATATATCTACCTTCATACAACAAATATGTTCTTGACAAATATTTTATTGAACAATTTGTTGAGGACAAAAAATTTTCTCCATAAGAAAATTAACAAGTGACTAGTTTTGTAAATTAAGAATAATTTTGTTTAAAAACATGAATAATTTTGTAAAGCTTATTTAAAGCCAATAAGTTGGATTGAGAAAGGAGACAGTATTTTTTTGTTTGTTAGTTTGTTTTTGTTTTGGGGCCATATATAGCAGTGCTCAGGATTTACTCCTGGTTCTGAGCTTAAGGATCAGTCCTGGCAGTGATCAGGGGACAATATGGAGTGCTGAGGGTCAAATTTGGATCTGCTGTGTGCAAGTCAACCTGTTATATTATAGCTCCTGTCCAGGAGACACAGTCTTGCCTTCAAAGGTCCTATTCTATCCCTATGGAAATACAATTAATGTATGAAAGTCATCAGTTTTAGGAGTATGTGGTACAGTGTCCTAGGGTGATTGATAGATGAGAAATGTCAGTTAACTGACTGAATGGTTAACAGTCAAAAACAGGCCAAAAGTACCAAGGGAATCTTGAATAGTGTCTTCATGCAGGTTTGAGAGAAAAAGGCAGCATTCAGAAAGAATCTGGAAAAAGAACAAAGAAGATCCATGAAGAAGAGGCTCATCTCTCAAAATATAAGAAGAAAGGATATTCCAAATGGGAGAAAGCAGATTTTAGTACAGTTTAAACTTCTTGAAAGATAGTGTGGAGAATGCATGGCTCAGAAACAAGGCTCTAGAAAGTTTTGAATGAGATCACCTAGGTGGCAAGTGTTTTTCACGGATTTAGGAGGATGATGGATAACTTGCAGTTTACTTCTAGTGTAAGTCATAGTTGCAGGTTTCATTAAAACATGGCAAGACTGCATGGTTGAAATGGTGGCTTCATAGCTCTCAAAGGCACTGGTCTGAATCCTGTACTGAACGGGACTGTGGAGGACTTTCATGTTGGACCAGTTGGGATGGAAAATCTGTCCAAACACTCACTTCCCTGGTGTGTCTTGCCCTGTGTATAAATCCAGGGTGATCTGGGGACTCTGGAGTTTGTTTATGAGTAAAGACTGGAAAATACCAGGTCAGTGGGGACTGCCCAACACTACTATCAAACTGAAGTTGCTTTAAAAACAGTCTTCAAAAACACAGTCTTTATTCCATTTATTGAAACTTTAAGAGGATGGTTTGTTTTTGTCATTTTTCCTATCTCCCCACCCTGCCTCCTGTCAAACAAACTCACATTTACTGAACCCCAGCTCAATTAGGATTTCCTAGTATCTCTGTTCTCTGGGCGTCTCAGGGATTGGGACTTGATCTCTCCTCTTCATGAAGCCATAGACTTTGGGAAATTGAATGCATCTGGCCACATGCCTGATTGCATCAAACTGATTTCTTTCAGGTGGGGGCACATATTTCAGTTCTTATTTTTATGGTTGACTTAATACCATACTGTTTTATTTTGGTTAGAAAAGCATTTATCTAAATTAGCATTTAGAGAAAAATTCTGTGGAATATTGGCAAACATATATAGGCAGATGGGTAGATGCAGCAGACCCTAACCTACTAATGAGACATGATTCCAAATGTGTCTTTATTTCTTTATGTCAGTGAGTTAAAATTGCTTGGTTATTTCTTTCCCATAACTTGTAGCTTGCCTGGGAAGACATAAACCTAAACAAAATCTTCTTGAGTCTTATCAGGTAATTTGGCACCTGCAAGCAAAAAATGGTGGGAAATACAATATGTTTAGATATGTACTGTACAAGGCATGTGAGATTTTATAAGAATGTAACTCTGGTCTAAAAAATGCCAAGGGCACCGATATTGTAATATAAAAACAAAACTGAAAAATGGTGACCTATAGAGCTTGTAAATGGCTCAATTAATAAAGCATACTGAGCTATGGGCACAAGTTAGGAAAGTTCAAGAACATATTTAAACTACAGAGATTGTTTGCAGATGAAATGATAATTGTTAGGGGCGAGAGAGAGAGAGAGAGAGAGAGAGAGAAAGAGAGAGAGGAAGGGAGGGGAAGAGAGAGAATACAATGAGTAAGGCATTTGCTTTGCTGGTAGCAGACCAGGGTTTGATACTTGGCCCCATATATGATTCCCTGAGCACAGACAGGAGTTACTCCTGAGCACAGATCCAGGAGTAATCCCTGAACACAGTCAGCTATGGTCCCCAAGTAAAAATAACAACAACATAAAGAAATGATTTTTTTTGGGGGGGGCTAAAAGTCTCACATGATGTATGAAAGAGAAGATATTAACTTTCATCTCATCTACCCCATTAGAATTGTTCCTTTCTTTCTGGTGCACTATATGACCAATTTAAATGTAAAATTTTGACTGCAAACTATTGTAACAGTAGATATGAAAAATTAAAACCAAAAATTTTAATTAGGTCACTTGAATTTAAAAGTTGATAAATTTGCAAAAAAAACAGCATAAAATTCAATCAAACTTTGAATTTCTTGGAGAAAAGAGAAAACTGTAGCAAAACACATGGCTTAAAAACTCCCTGCAAAATAATTTAATATGGCAAAAGAGTCATCAAGAACCCATTTATTCAGTTTTTGTAGGTCAACTGTAAATTGGAAAATGTTTTAACTTGAATCTTTGTTTAAGGTTTCCTCAGGAAACTAATATATAGAACCACACCACGAAAAGTATCTGAACAATATTGGGTGAATTTACTTATTATTACTTCCAAGGCAAGGAAACTGAAAGTAAAGGGATTATTAATACCCACATATGAGAAACCTTTTCACGATGAAAATTTCTGGAGAAAGACAAATAAATGTTAACTTAGAAGATACTTGAAACACCTTAGAATTCACATAAAGCAAAGTGTGACTCTTAGTGACATCTTCACCTTTGTTAACACAAGAATAAAATCATACTTTTGTATAATCACTCTGGTCAGGATCTAAACATTAGCATTTTTGGCATTTTTTTAGGTGCAGGCTGGTGTGTGCATGGCTGGCAAAGAGAGTGTCTGAGAGTGTGCTGGAAGGGAGTGAATTATTCACTGCTGATGTTTACACACCTTGGCATATTTGGGACTTAAGAGAGATTTAGGATGAAAAGAAGACCCATGCTGAGGAGCAAGGAAGTAGGAAGGGTTATCAAGTAAAGGTAGCCAGAAAAGAGTATGAAGGAACTGACTCTCCAGACCCTACCATGAGCAGTTGTTGGTACAGTCTTGGTCAAAGTGAGAGAAAGCATCTGGTGAGGATAAAGTGGATAACTTTAGAAGTACACGTTAAGTGCAGGAAGCCAGATTTCAAAGGCTACCTGCTGTATTATTACATTTGTGTGAAATGCCCAGGCCAGACAAATTCATGAAGACAGAAAGATTAGTGGTTGCTAAGATCTGAAGATATGGAGG